TACTAATATAACTTTATATACTCCGGTAATGATTTTTAAATATTTAATTTAGTATTTTACTAACTTAATTACAATCCCTCGTAATTTCCTATAAACTTTAATCAGTTAATAAAATACTAAGGTTCTATATATAATAATATTATAAATATATTTAGTATATATTTCCTTTGCCCGATTAAAAGAGTAACCCTAAATTTTCGCTACTAACTTTATAAGTATATTTATTTAAATTTTTACTTTCTACTTTACCGCTTTTACGTGAGCCTAGTAATTAAGCTTATAGTCTAGCTAGACCCCTAGGAATTTTATTAATTTTATTAATTAAAGTACTATATCCCTAAATTAAAGAGTTTCTATCTTTAGTACCCTCGTCCGCATAAAATATATTAATTCCGTTCTATTCGCTTAGAACTCTATACCTTTTGCCCCTACCTATTCCGAATATATTTCTTATACTATTTATAAGGTTTAATAATTCTCTTTAATAATATAGGCTACTACGATAATATTAGTATTATTTACGAAGCCGATTATAATTATATTTAGGATTATTACTAACTTCTAATATAATAGGGTAATAAAGAGAATAAATAGGATAGGTAAGAGGAGGGAGCCTTAGGGTACATTTACTATAATAGTATAGGGGCGAAATATTTTGTTATTAAAGAAGAAAGTACCTTTCCTTTCTATAATAAAGTTCGTTACTTACCTAATAATATATATTAAGAATTATATTTCTTATAAAGTATGTAGAAGTTACTTATAATTAATTCTATTGAATACGCCCTTTAAATCGAAGAGTATAAGGGATATTACGGCCCTAAATTTCTATACTATATAAACTATATTAGTAACTACCTAGATTATAAACTCCGTCGAACAACCTATTTAATTACCTATTTAGCCCTCCAGTAAGAGGTTGAACTCTTTGGCTATTTATATAAATCTTTTAATTATAAGGGCTTCGAGGATTTTTCTAACGTTATTAAATAGCAATATAGGTTTCTATACGCCCGTTAACTTTTATTAAGCGGCTTTTTTTCCGGGTTTTTTAAGGACGATTACTATTATATCTTTAAAGTACTACAAGAAATACCCGAACCGGAAACTAGCGGTTACTAAATATATTATTATTTACCGGAATAATTACCCGTACAACTTTGAAAATTTATTTGAATAAAATAGTTTTCAGACACCGGTGCGATGCTGGATCCTGCTCAAGCAATGCCCGGTGTATATTAAAGCGTGCTTTGGATCCACATTACGTAAGCAAGTCAGATACCAAGAAATGCCAAGACGGGAGCACGGGAAGGTCCTTAGCAGCCAATCCTAACTCAAGGGCACAACACCAGCCAAAGCATCACCAGATCTGACCCTTCTCGTGGGATTTCTATTATCACGTCCATAAACCCAACTGCACTTCGCAAAACGCTCTAATCAGCCCATATAGTCTACTTCCAACTACCCTACTATTACTAGCCCCCCCGGGGGTGCTATAGGGACGCCCGTGGTATAGCGGTATGAAGGACGCTCCTACCGCTACTAGTATAAGTATATAGAGAGCTCTCGCGTTCAACTCCTTACTGATAACTCGTTTTTCTATTTAAACGCTCAGTTATTATACTACTAACGTCTCTCAAATCCTTCTCATCTTCCAATCTGTCCGTTGTGGGTGTCCATTATCCGGGGGTATCCGTTGTCCGGGGGAACAGGAGATATAAGACCGCCGTAAAACGTACTATCTCTCGGTGCCGTTGACGGTTGTTCTGAAAAAGGGTATACTATGAGGCATTCGACTAGGGTGCGCGGAATAAGTCGAGCTGAACTCCTTACCTTTTTTTTTTCTTTTTTTTTCCGAAGCCGGTAGTAAGATTCAACTACCTAAATCCCGAACTAGAATAATCTAAATTATAATTGATAATAAGGGTGACATACTGCTTTAAATAGATAGGGATAGAAAGCTATTTAACGGTAGTAGTTTTCTTGTAAAGAAGTTCATCTTTAGTTAGTAATACTATCTTAGTACCAACCCAACCTCTAGCAATAGTACGTTGGCGCTTAATAGCGAGTAAATTGCAGCGCTCTTCTTCTTCTTTCAACATATTATTAATACGCTACTCGAACTCCAAATTATCGTCTTCGAAGATAACTAACATAGTAGCGCTAGGGGTTGTTAGTTGTTAGTTAATAGTTAATGAAAGTAATAAAGAATTGAATATAAGAGAAAGAGGGGGAGGGAGATAAAGAGATATTAATAGCGTTAGAGAGGCTGGATATAAAATGAAATATAGGGAGTAGCTATAAATACTGTTAATCTATAATAGAAGGTACGGTTAGAAATATTTATTATTATTATATCTATATATATACCTACTTAAAGGTAGTACCGGACCGGAAGTAGTAATACCGGGTGCCCGGAGTCTTAGTATTTAAATATCCGGGACTAGTAGCTTCTCTAGTAACCTCCTCGCCTTATTAGTAGCCCGTATAATAAAAATACGATTTAAAATTATCCGTAAAGCGCTCAAATTAAAAGGCTTATCAAATATAAGGCCTTATAAGGTCTTAACCCGAAAGTAAACTATATATATAAGCCCAATTTAAAAATCCTTCTTAGAAATATCCAATACAGCTATGTCGAGTGTAGAGCCCTGTGATTTGTGTACTGTAATAGTATATACTATCATCAAGGGAAATTGTATCCTCTTATACTAGGTATTCCTATACGAAATAAAGTCTTATATAATATAGAAAATAGGGACCACATTCTCAAATCGTTCTTAGTCTAAATTAGGGAAGTAGTAAGGACTAGTATACCGATTAAATTTGACTAGTATAATAAAGGGGGGTCTATAAGGATATTCTTTATTATCTATATTTTAATTAGGGAAAGTACTATTCTAAGTAATATTGAAAATAGTACCTAATGTACTATTAATTAGGCCAACCTTAGACTAGAAATTCTCGGTAAGTATTACCCGGCTTCCTATTATTAAGGGAAAATTAAATTGTAGATTATTAACTTCGGTAAGGTCTATGTTTTTAGTACTAGTTCCCTCGTAGTTAGTAGGAAGTATAAGGTATAGTTAATGTAAGGCTTCTATATACTCAATATTATAAACGGCTATATTACTATATTTTAGGTAAATACGAATAGTATATTTAATTTAAGTAGCCTCCTTATCAAATAATCGTATCTTTATTCGAATGTATAAGAAATCCCAATATTGACGAGTAAATTAATTATTTTGTAGTCCTTCAAATATATCCTTAAATAGGGCTTAATTATTACCCTATTGTCGTACAATCCACTATAATTCAATGGTTTTATTAAAAGTATATTAGTAATTATAGCCACCGGCTTTGATTGTTAGCAAGATTACCTGATTATAAAAAAGGGATTTCTATATTACTAGCGCTAGTTAATAGAAATTACTAAGTAGGAGGACGCTTCTATTATTAAAAAGTATATTTTGGCATTCTGGGAAAGCTTGTCGAAGCTTTTAATTAATAAAGTTGAGAGTGCGAAGTTCTAGTATCGATTTCTTATTAATAATAAAGTATTAGTATAGCTGTAGTTTAATCTATAATTAAATAAGATTAACGCCTTCCAAAGCTATAAAAACTACTTCAAAATTATTAGAATTAATATTCTTAAGTATAATAGGAAGTTTGAATAAGGAGTGTAGAGTCTGCCTATTAATATTATTAACTACCACTCCAGTGGGGGCACCACAGATAACAGAATTACCCTTCCCCCGACCTACAACTATTTACTCTAGTTTGAAAGATAGAAGTTTAATAAAATATAATTTTCTAATACTTCTACGGCCATTAACCTTCAAGAGTAGAGGTAGGATGCGAAGACGCTGTTGAATATTATTATTACAATTTAGAATAGACTGGTAATAAGCAATAAACTCATTAAAAACAACCTTCTAGGCTAAGTTAAAATTATTAATAGTAGAAGCAGTAATAGTAGGAACATCTACCATCAAATAGGCATTATCAGCTTTCATATTACACCAATAATCCTATACTAATAGTAGTAGATCTTAATAATCCAAGTGGTTATACCAATTATATAAGACATCTTAATCCCGGAAGCCGAATATCCCAAAATCCCCATCATCTTCAACTCATTAATAAGCGGGAAATTCTCTAGCTAACACCTACTATAGTTCTTATTATCTCTCTTCTTTAGTAGAAGGTTTAAACTCATTATCGGATTCTCTATTAAGGAGGTCGCCGTAGTAGTCGTAAGGGTAATCTATATTGCCTATATAAACTTCTATATAAATTAAATATATATTAGAATAAATCTATAATTCTTAGACTCTATTTATACCCTAAATACTAAGTGAATCCAACTAAATACGATAGGGATAATATAATATAAATTTGATTCTACACCAATCTTTATACTAGGTTTAATCCTCTTTATTAGATTTATATATAAGATTGTAGTTGAGTACCCTCTTCTTAGTATAACTACTTAGACGGCGATTATTATTAAATCAGATAAACCACTCGAAATAGCTCATGTTTTCGAAGTTATTTGAACGAAATAAGTATTTAGAGTACTAACTGCGGGTTTAAACTGGCTAACCTTATCTAATAAACACTCCGGGTCCAAATAATCTATCAGAATAACGATAATCTACATCAATAACCTTACGGGTACTTTAACTAAACTGTAAGCAAAGAAGAAGATAATTAATTTCTTTAGCGGACCAATCTCTCTTAACTACCAACTAATTCATCATTTTTACAATAAAAGAAATGATGTAATTATTAGAAGCAATTTAAGGAGTAATCTATTGAGCAATCTCTTTGAAAGGTCTTAATTACTTTTCTACTTTCGAACAATATTTAGCAATATAATTAATAATAGCGTTATAACTAGTATATAGTTGGATATCTGTACACGCGTACTATACCAATATAATAGTCCGGTTGTAGTTATTTATGCGGTTATCGTTCCTTACCCTATTATATAGTTAATACTTTAGGTTGAGACTGTATATAAAATATACTTCTGGGTAGTAATTCCTAGGAAAGTGAAACCGGCATACTTTGAATATTGGATCCTTAAGATAGAGAGTACCTTGGACAAACCGCTTAATACAAAGGTAATAATTGTTGGTATACCGGTTATAATGTTGTATTCTATTAATTATAGAGAATAGAAGGTCAAAGGTAGGGGGATATATACCTTCCTCTTCCGGACTATTATTAATAATAATAAATAGTAGATCTCCTTCACCCTATTAGCTAACTCTTTTTAGCTTCGGGTTAAAAGTAATTATATAATAACTCTATAGTTCTACAAACTCCCGCCGTATATTCTCATTGGTTAGTTCAGGTGCCTCGATATATAGTACCTAATAAACACTATGATTATAACTATTGCCTCTTGCCTGGAATGCAATACGATACTACTAATCTTCATTTTTGAGTTTTGGTATTAAAATATATTCTTTGAATAATTTAAAGTATTATTCTAAATAGTATATAGCGATATAAGGGTTCTCTTTAAGGTTCTCTCTTGTAATTCTATTCCGATCTTAGGCTAAAGCAACCTTCTACTCCTTGTAGGTGGGTATATACCGAATAAGGCTGTCCTAATATGTATCGGCTGTACTAAATATTATAAATATAGCCGGTATACCTAATGCTTAGATATAGGCACAGAATTTACAACTCTTTCGAATCTAATATAATCGTATACCCCGTATAGTATTAGAAAACCGTATAACCGAATCGAATAGCCGATATACCTCGGGAATATCGGTTTCAATTACTTCCCTTAATTACTCAATACTAGCCAAACCCTTATCATTTACACTACTACAACCCAAGCGGATAAAGAATTAGCTTTTCAAATTGATTTATAAGACTTCCTCGGCGGGCAGTGTCACTTTCCTCCGTAGGCAGTGTTACTGCCCATATAGTTGAATCTTTATCGATATTCCTACGTAGGCAATGTTACCGCTATCCCTAACCCTAATAAATCTGGATTTAAATACATTGAACTTAACTATTTATAATTATCGTAAGATTTGGATTTTGAAGTTATATAATTTTTTTGCTATACAAAATTAAGAGAAGCTAACTATACTTACTAATATAGTTTTACTAAATTTAATCGTATTAATACGATTTTAATGTTAGTATACTTATTGCAATATACTCTTTTAAATTCTAATAGTCTTTTTCTATAGAATATCTGTAATTATCGAGATTAGTAGCGTTTCCAACTCCTACTACGCAAGTAATGGAGATGAATTTGTACCTACCTCTCTTATTCCCGCCCCTATCCCTATAGCGGCGCCTACCCTTACTTTTATTCGATCCGATTTATTTAATTCTTTTGAGGACGAGGGATTATTAAATACTAGTTCCCTTACCGAAAGGGATAATATACCCAACCTAATAACTAAAAATATTATATTTAAGCTATTACTATTTGTAAAGGTTATATAGGATACGCTTAATATATAGGGAAGGCGTTATAGTATAGCTTTTAACTATATACAAACTTTAAACTATCGAAATAAATAATTAATATACTACCGTTTGAAGTATAACCGTTATAATTAATATTGTCCCTCGACTATTAAATTTAGAAAAATAAAAAACTATAAATATAGTTGCTAATAGTCTGGAGTAGCGATTACCCTCTAAGAGAACGATTAGTAATAGATTTATCGGCTATCTATTAATTTAAATTATTATACTTATAACTATAAGGGATCTTTATACGCCTTTATTTCTTTATAATACTGTAGAAGGATTGAGAAAGTGTATAGGAGAGTAATTACTTTATTTTATTAGTTCGGTATTAGATTACGAAATATTTTAGTTATTATTAAATACGAATTTAAGACTATTATTTATACCTATAAGGATATCGATAATTGGTGCTAGCGTATTAAAAAGTTATAACGTTATAATTATAAAACTATTACTACTATTATTAAATTATTCAACGATTCTAATATCCTTTATATTATTGAGTAAATTATAAATAATTCCAACTGCCTAATGGGTATTACTTAGTCTTAGGAATTCTATTTAAAGTAATAGCGGAATTACTTAGAGTATTTGGGTATAGATAATATTTATAAAACTAATTGCTATAGCTACCCGCTTACTATTATTATTAGTATAATAAATACTAATTCTATTTATTCTATTGCGTTTAATTTAATTAACAATAAAAGGGTTAATAATTTTACTTAATTGGCTAGCGTATTCGAAAAGCTACGCATTAAAGTAAGGGCAATTAAATTAAAGGTTATTATTATAGACTTTAATAATTAGTTAAAAATAGCTTTTACGATAATATTTCTAGATACTCAATAATAGATTTATATATTCTATATTAACTGTAATATCCTTTTATAAGCAAAGAAGAAGTAGAAGCGGATTGGTAATAGGGGTAGCGATTTAGAGTTTAATAAAAGAGAATCTATTATTCTAAGCTAGGGTAATGAGGCAATCCTCCAAACGGCTACGAATTCAAGGGTATAAAAAGTGTTTGACTATATTTATCGTAGTCTTTTTGAATTTTGGAAAATAGTAATCTTTATACTTAACGAGACTATATTTATATAATAGTAGAAGCAATTAATTATAGACTTTAATAATTAATGAAATATATTACTATAATTAAAGGATACGTATATACTATACCGCTACTAATAGGCTCGTTGCTATATTTACTAGTACTATAATTTTGGATTAATAGTTATATCCCCTAACGAATCGATTAATTACCGGATAAAGGGATTCTTAGTTAGCGGGAAGATAGATTTCTTTACTCTAATTATATTTATTTATACTATAGTTGAGCGAGAGTATAATTAATAGTATAAAGACGTTACGGATTAAAATATAAAAATACGGGGTAAATTTATTAGAGTAGGAATAGAGGTATTAGAAAATTTACTTTAGTGGGTTATATATTGTGATTTTAATATTATTTATTGTTAATTATATATTATTTAATTTATAATACCTTTAAATACTAGAAAAAGGCCGGTACGAAATCTAGGGGAGTATCACTATACAATTTAAAAATAATATAGTATACCTTATTGTTATAAAATATTAATAAAGTTTAAAAATGGTAGTTAGTTTGGCTATTGGGATATTTATTACTACTATTATATCTAGGCCCCCTTAGTACGTAATATTATTATTATTTTACTCTTTTCTTTAGTTAATATTCTATATTAGAATAAATAGGACCCTTGTTCCCGTATTAAGGACCTTAAAACTACTAATAGAATTAGAGGATAATTTAAGAATAGTTTAGTAGAATTATTAGATAATTAGCAAGTCCTTAATAATATAAAGGGGAAGGGGAAGGGTGAGGTAAGAAAAAAAGCGGTAAAGAAGAGGGTAAAGAGTAGTTAAATATTAAAGCTATTACTCTAACGGTAATAATCCTACTTTAAAACAATTGATAAAGTTAGTACGGGTGAAAGCGATTCGGCTGTAGGCTTTACTATTAAAGTACAAGTACTAAGCTCGCTAGATCCTTTTACTTTAAACAACGACCTTCAAATTACTATACCATTAAATAATTCCCTTACTCTTTCAAACTCTAACGAACAGCCTGCCCGCAAAAAGCGTACTATAATACGGTTATTAATACCTCAAATAGTAACTAGAAGCGGACGGACTATTAAACTATTAAAGAGGAAGCGGGAAGAGTAGAAGTAGTTTATAGTATATATAGGTAGAGATATTGTAGTTGAGTAGAAGAAATTGAGTTAAATACTTTCCGTTCTTAATACTACGATTTATAAAATATCTATTTATTATACTAGAGTATAAGGTTTAATAACGCTTACTGTTTTGACTAGAATGTTGAATATTACGAGAAATATTATAGGGTTAGGGTTTAACGTGATACTGCCCGCGTAGGAATATCGGTAAAGATTCAACTATATGGGCAGTGATACTGCCCACGGAGGAAAGTGACACTGCCCGCCGAGGGACTCTCTAATTTATTTACCTAATAATATATTAAAAATAATGAAAGGGAACTGGTAGTATTGTATAAAGCGACTATTATACTATTTGAAGGCATACTTAATATAGTCCTCAAAGTTAATAGACTATATTCGGGGTTTAATAAAGTCAGTTTTACCTTAGGGGTAGAGGGTTGGGAATACCTAAAACAAAATAGGCCAAGATCTATCCTATTCCCTTATAGGGGTATTATGTAACGGACCGGATTTAAGGAATAGTTGAACTAAAGGGTATTGGCCGGGAGTAGGTTAAATAAGTATATTATTAGCTTGAACAGGCTGTCCTACACCCAATTATTAACAAAATTGTTCTATATCCACCTAATTAACCATAAAATTAGGGAGGGCGGCAACTTCTAATTCAAAACCATTATTATCCTCATTATCCTGTTCTTATTATTAATCATTATTAAAATTAAGATCCTCATTATTTGGGAAATTATCAGGGTCGATTTCATAGACTACTAAATCGTTATATACATTACTATTGGGAAGTCGTTCTAACTCTTCAAACCGGGCTTCGATAATCTTAATATCCCTATATCCAAGGTAGTTAGCTTTTAAATAGTCGAATTAAATATAAAGTTTATTAGGGTTGATTATCATAGCCTAGTTAACTCTTTTGATAATATAGGGTTTATCTCTAGCCCTACGAGGTCGAAGGATAATAATATCGAAATTACGGGGTAATAAGGGTAATTAATAATAAACGTAACTGATATTGTAAAGGAAGTTAATAATATAGCCGGGATACTTATACTAGGAACCCTTAATAACTTAGATATCGATAAAGCTATATACCCGGGCGATAAATTATTCCTCAACCTAATTAAATACTAGTAAATCGGAAATATTACTAAAGTTTAGGTTATTCTCGGCACTAAAGTAATAAAAGTCTTTGGGAACTCTTCGGTCGTCGCAATTATAACACTAATAGCAATATCCGGTAGTAATATATATATTAAACTATCTCTCTTTATATCGTTGATACTATTCTATATTATCCTCTTTTTCAATTACTTAAAATGCCTTAATCATATCGAAATCGACTTCAAGGATGGCTATTACTAGTAGATCTTTAAGTCCGTAATATAGGGGATCCCTTTCAAACTTAATACCGGGAAGTCTGGGGAATTAGCGAAGCTAAGGAGGAAATAGTA